TAAAATCATAGAAATTTAATTTCTCACTTTCGATTGCTACAAGGTCGACAGGTTTCTAATTATTTTAAAATATAACAAAGAAAATTAATAAAATGCAGGAGGACAAAGCGTAACAATAATTACAAAGTGTATGATTTAATAGTCGAGCGCGACGCGATGGAAAACGATCAAATAATGAATACGTTCCTCTCGCTTCTCTTGCCAGTGATAGCAAAAAACAAAAAAACAAAAAAACCACACATTATCTATTTGCCAGCGTAGACACTTCTCGCTCCGGCATGCAAATCTCGAGGAGTCTTTCTCACGTTGCGTCCCTTAGAGAAGCGCACGAGCCTTTTTTTCTTCCTCATGCCCGGAAGGTTCCCGTGTACTATTTAAATAACGGTTCTCGCGCGCGTGTCATTGTTTCTCTCTCAGTGAGTAACCCTTCTAGTTACCGGGGAAAGGCAGAGGGAGGTGGAGTGGGGTTGTTCTGTTTCAAGTCGAGGAAGAAAACTGAAAGAACAAATGGCGGGAGGGGAGGGAAGGGGGTCAAGTTCCGTGTCGGATAGCCGTTACGGCAAAGACAGAATTACGACGTCTCAAGACGAGGGGTGCCCTCCCCTCCTTCATTTCACCTCCCCCTCCCCCCTCCCCCTCCTTTCGCCCGGTCCCAAGCGGATCATCACGGAGTTTCTTAGCTTTTGAGTAATTTTCTATGATTTTCGGATCGCATGATCGGCAACAATAACGCGCGCGCATCCGCGGCCTCTTCGAAATCCGGCCTAATCGAATGCGTTCGATCGCTCGCGAAAGTCGGTGAATCTGTGGAAGAACGGTGGGTGATAATGGCGATGGAGATTTATTTCAGAAATCTAATTTTCTCGAAGAGAAGAGGAAAACATTTCTTACGAAAACATCGTCTGAAAGTAACAACTTCGGGAACAACTTCGAGATACTATTTCGCGTATTCATAATAAAATATAAAGTCGGAAAAACAACGACGCGTAAAAGTGAAATACAGCTGTAATAAAGTAATTAATGAAAAAAAGTATCAGTAAAATAAAAAACACAAAGTGATACCGACGGTAGTGTGCTCACGAAAGAAACTCGAAATGTTCACATCGAGATAATGATACGCAGACCCCTAATAACTTTCCATTCCGTTTCCGCGAGTAATCGAAACCGTGTGGGTACATTTCCGCGAGCGAGCAGCATCAAAGCACACAAGCTACCGTTCGCAAATAACATGTCAAAATTGCACGATTAGTACAAAGAGTCGTTTACAGACAGAGAAAGGTGGAAGTACGTCGCGACGGGCCTCCAACGTGCACACGGTTCTTTCCTCTCTCACTTACCTCCCCCGTTCCCCCGGTCTTTCGTATGCGGCTTCGCCTGCATGACCTACCCCAAACAAACCACGAGAAAAAGAAGGAAGAGAAGCGGCAACGACGGTGAGGCCGCAGGGGCGGCGAGAGACGCGGGGGAGAGGGGGGGGAGGGAGGAGAACACGCAGCGAAGAAAGAGAGAAAAAGAAAGAAAGAAAGACAGAGGGAGGGACGAGACGGAAGGACAGAGGGACGGAGGGAGGAAAGAGAGGATGGAAGAGAGCTGCATTCGCGCCCACACACAGCCGAGAGGTTGCAACACGCGGATGGCAAGGAGAGTAGAGAGCTCCCCTCGTGGCGAGAAAAGGAAGAGCGCGCGCGGAACGGGACGGGGAGAGGGTACGCAGAACGGAGTTTATTCTTCGTGCTTTTTTTTTATCGTTCGTTGACTCCGCACTCCTCTGCAGCCGCGACGAGAGCGCAGCGCGCGCTGCTCCACGATAAGATTGCACTCACAGGGGCGGCCGGGAGAGAAAGAGAGATAGAGAAAAGCTTGTTCCACGCGACAGAGAGAACGAAATCCGCCCGCGCGCGCCGCATGCGTATCCGCCGCTTATATTACGTTTCGGCGCGCGTATCGCGGAAATATCCCGTCGCGGTAGGTTTCGCCTAAAGTTCACGGAATATCGGAATAACGGCACGGACAGATTTTCGTTCGATTATTACCCGACTTTCGCGAGAATTTGCGATAATATTCGGGATAATACGACGGAGAGACACGTGTTGCACGATTATCGCGCTCGCGGGACAGAAATATACGGACCGTTCTAGAAGCGCGAACTCCTTTTTAACGATACATGTATACATCAACAACGGCCATGGTATTTCCGTAACAATGACATACATTACGCGGCAAAGGAGAGAGAGAGAGAGACAAGAAAACAGAAGGGTGCAGACCGCGTCGTGAAAACGTCAGTTCTCCAATAATAGACGGGCGAAACTTTTCCGGTGGCCCACGCGAATATTTGTTGCGGGCAATTATGTCAATTAGCGGCACGTATTCGCGCGACGAACTAGCGAATTCGTTATTGAGCGGGGCATGCGAGCCCGCGCGAAACTCGCCGCGAGCGAGTAAAGGCGACGACGAAACACATACACTTTGCCGAGGTGACTGACCTCAAAGTTTCCCATAATGCATGC